CATTTGAAAATAAGTGCAGCAGTGCAAATCAAATCCAAAAGAATTACAAAATGTACAAATTGTTGAATTTTAACAATTTTGGCTCCACACATTCTATCAACATTATTGACCGTGATATTGACATTTACATTATGGCATCTCACATAAAAACCTTGCTAAGCCAACAGCCAGCCACCAGGGGGCGTTACAACCGAGGGCAGAGCTGCAAATCAGTAATTGAAGGACTGGAGCAAATGGCAAAGAGTAGTTCTCCAGAAACAGATAAAGTTGTTCTGATTGAAAAAAAGAACACTTCATTCCAAAAAAATGCACAAGACTTGTTTCTGCACCACAACTGACTTGTTCAACCACACGACTTTTTCTTAGATTTTTTGTATCTGTTCAGAATGTTTATTAAGCAATACTTATGATGAACTTACAAAATAACAGGACACATGGGGAAAGTAATTTGAAGTTGAGGGCTGGAATCAAACTTTTATTTAACAAGAAAATCTATTTATTTATCTATTTATTCATTTTGTCACCTAATTAGGTGGTTGGGCCTGTTGATACGTCTGTGATAATATATGTATCAGTTTGATTTGGTATTGTTTAGTGAGATGTCTTTGTTTTGTGTTGTGTATTGTTGTTCTCAGTGAATCCCTGTGCTTCTCTAATGTAGGACAACATGAAAATGAAAGCAGTGCTCTGCTCAGTGCAATACAAATATTAATCAAGACAAAATTATCTCGATCTCTTAACGATTATAATTTTGGACTTAATGGTGCAGCTCTGTGTGATTGATCCACACTCCAGCTGACACCCTGACTCTGATTCTGACAGATGGAGGAACCAGAGCTCTGCAATCTGTTCAGTTGAGTCTGTTAAACTCTAAATCCTCGGTTTTAAAGGCTCAATTTGATATTCTTAATAATAAGTAGAAGATAATGGTCTGATGTAAAACCACCTGCCAGAGTCAGCATCCTTTTAGCTGACATCGTTTGAAAACTTAAGTGTTTGAGCCACGATTTAGTAGCTGATTTGTTGCACGAAAATTATTTCTTGTGTCGTCTTTGGATTGATAATAAGTGAATTCCTTTTACGCCACTTCACTGATCAGTGATAATAAATGTGCCTAACAAGAGCAGCAGTGTTGTCTCATGAAAACTTTAATGTAAATGTATTATTATAAACGTTTTATGATTTACAATCATCTGTATGAAGTGGTAGAGATGAGATATTACCTAGTTACCTGTTGACCGTGTGTGTGTGTGTGTTCAGTGTGGTTTCAGTCAGTCGTTTCAGAACCAGATTTCCTTTCAGCAGCCAGACGACTCTGATGCCAAGAGGAGCTCTGACATTACTGAGATCATCATCAATGTACGACAAGCATGCATGCGCACATCTTTGTTGTTCAATTCTTGAACAAAGCTCAGATACACAAATTGAAATAAATAGTTCATATGTTTCTGGGATGCTAACTTTCTGTGCTTGTCTGTGTTTTGTGTTGTTACCTCTGTAGCAGATGTGTGTGAACTGTGGTCGGATGGCAATGAGTGAGTGTACGGGCTGTCACAAAGTCAACTACTGCTCTACCTTCTGTCAGAGAAAGGTAAGACCCACCTGAACTAGTGTTGAAATTGCATGTTGCAGCTGAACACCCCTCACCTCACCCTCTCATTCCAAACATGAAAAAGAACCTGTGGAAGCCTTTAACTGTTGCAAAAACTAAAGGTGTTTAGTTTGTCCAGTCTGGACTAATGTAAAACACATGGCAGCCTCGGTAGAGAGGGTCCCCTCGATGTAAATATAAAGTATTTAAATATAAAGGGCCTTTTCTGGGGTAAATAAAACTACAATTCATATAATTTAGATGAATTAAACATCATGAGGATTATTCTACATTAAATTTCTGTCAATAGATCCCTTTCACCTGAATCTTACACACTGGACCTTTAATTAAAACGAGCATCTTAATGAATATAAAAATTGTACTTTGGCAGATATACAAATGACTATAATGCAGCGTGATGAGACGACATTTTTAAAATCCTCAGGTCATTGACCTTTCAAGGTCACCAGAGGTCAGATATAAATTGCCTCCACGTCTGAAATAATAGCTTTGGGTGTGTAGAGTACATGCTGATCATGCTTTAGTCATAAACATGCAGTTGGTTTTCCTATCTGCTCCCACGATTATTAAAGCAAAGTGGCATATAATGCACACCTGCAATCCCACCAAGAATGTTGAACAGCCTCTTTCGGGGCTGTAGCTGCTCAGGATTCTTGTCATGCACATTATGAGGAGCTGTTAGAGCAATGAAAGTCTGATATATGACCAACTTAACTGTTCTGAGTCAGAGGCTGTGTCTGAAATCAGCTCGCTCACAAACTCCTAATCATTGCGGAGGGAGTTCTATGTGTGGCCGGAGGAAAATCACATAATACATTAAAATGTTTATTTCACACTTACTTTAATACTTTAAGGTAAAAGACATATTGTATGCCAATGTTAAAATGTAGAAATATACCTGTTTGCTACAGTTTGTTCTGCTCTTTTTACAAATTTACGGCCACAGCTCACAGATTTGTCTCGTTCCTGTCATAAAAAAACAAACTATGCCAAAAATGAGCGATGTATGCTAGACAGACTCTTTATCCTCATGATAATCCAGACAGTGGGATACAATGAGTTTATATAAAAGGTTAAAAAATTCATTACAAAATGCCAAATTCACTGCATAGTGATTAGTGAATGATTTCGGACACAGCACAGGGTTCTGAGGACATGTATGTACGCGTTTCTGTCTTTATTCCAAACTTAATTTGTCTAAGGAATTTGAAAATCCTCATTCCTCTCACCATGTCCTCCTTAAATCTCCATTCCTCCAGTAATTACTGTCACTTTATCAGGATGACAGTATTAAGACATGCATGAACAGAAACTGTTGGTCTGTAAAGAGAGTCACACTTCAGCTTGATTTTATACTCTGCAGGACTGGAGGGATCATCAGCACAGCTGCTGTCAGTCAGCAGGGGGCATGACCATCCAGGAGGAGGATCCAATCACAGCCATCGACATGGACAAAGTGAAATGATGACGCTGCAGGCAGCCCTCGCCATCATCAGCTGCCGCAGACAGGAAGTCCTTATGTGCGCGAAGAGGAGAGATTTTTAACTGAATATCCCCTCAGTGGAGCTTTTATTTTGAAAAGTGTCCCTACAGACCAGTATGGGAAGAAGGTCTGTGATCTTCTGACAGTTGAACTGTTTGTATATAAACTGTGAAGACTTTTATTTACTAGACAGAAATTGGGAGTTCAGATCAGGTGGACATTAGTGGAGCTGCAGCTCTGACGCAAATCTGTCTGAACGCACAGAACTGTACATGAACACAATTAAGACTTCATATTTATAAGCTGTACAGATTTCATATTTTATTTTTTTATTCCTTGTGTTGCCTCAGTGGCTGTTTTCTCTTTGTTGAAACATTATTTTGAATCTCCAGAGACATCCTGGTTAGATAAAGGTCACACATCAATAAAATAGAAAACGATATTGAATTAAAACCCCACCTCCTCTTGGTCTGCTCTTTCTTCTCTTCAAAACATGAAGTGATGTGTTTGATCCCAATCTTATTTTCTCATGTTGAAGTTTTATTCTGTTTTCCCACTAAATTCCAGAAAGCAACTGTTAGTTTGTTGAAGTTATCTCCAGTGTTGAAGTTATCTCCAGTTTCCAAGATATGAAGATAATGATCATCTTTCAGAACTTTAAGTCTCTGTAGTTCTCTATGTTTACTTGTGATTTATGCTCAGAAAGACACAAATGTAGCTGCAGAGTTGCAAGCAGTTCATTTGACATAAGAGCCAGAAGCCTTAGTAGTTTACACACATGTTACATGTCAGCAGCTGGATGGTGACCTCTGACTGGTGCAGTCATGTCCGCCAATCACATTAAGTTCTGCCCAATAAATGTGATGTTATGGAGATTACTGCTGTGCCGAAGGGTGTTTCTATTTTAATATGCCTCTACGCCGGGAACATCATCAGAAAGGCCCTGAGGGAATTTTATTACCTGTGACACAAGCATTTACTTAGACTCGATGTTGAACTGATTAGAATTCAGTGGGTCAAAGGTCAAGTTCGCTGTGACCTCACAACACATGTTTTGCATCATGAACGAGGACGTTTGGCTGGATTCACAGGATGCACTGATTAGGTCACTTTGAATCTTCACCTTATATGCTCCCCTTAGGCAACATCATCAGAAAGCACCACATACACTACCATTGTTACGCAGACGACATATCAGTCTCTCCCCCTCCTCCCCACTATCCCTCTCTCTTCTCGCCCCTCTTTTCCACCCATCTCTCCTCTCCTCCCCTTTTTCTTTGATTGCCCCAACCAGTTGAGGAAGATGACCGCCCACATTGAGCCTGGTTCTGCAAGAGGTGTTTTTTATAAGATTTTAAGGTCTTGACCTTCTATGTGCCTTGAGATAATGTATATTATGAATTGACACCATACAAATTTAAGCAGTCCTTCAGACCAAAAACAGCTGTGCACTAAAACAATGTTGGTGTAGTTTCAGGGACCATGAGAAGAGATTGAATTCAGAACCTTACTCAAAAATAAATACATGATAATAAAATACATGTGATACATTTAGCTAAATTACTTCAGTGATGAAAGGGGACATATAGAGACACATGGTTGGTTGGTGGAGGCTGCACATTGTATCTTTAGTTTTATAATTATAATGCAGCATTGTGATTCATTCACCCTCCTACAATATAGAAAATATTATGAGGACCACCCTCATCTACTTCCCAAAAGAAATTATTTGACATTGCTTGTTTGTGATACTTCTACTTAATTATCTATTTGAACATCACAAGAGAAATGTCTCAGAAAGATATTAGACATTAAAAATCCCCACATCAACAGAGAATACAAGCAGATTATGATTATTTAAACAAATGAATCGGGAAGCTTTTCATAGACCCCCATTTGAGAGCCACTGGTTTCAGGGACTGATATTTATCAGCATCTGGTGCAGATCTGAATGAAAATCTGGAGCTACTGAATTTAAATGTGTTTTCCTAAAATGACTGTTGGGCCTTTGTGGAGCGATGCACTATACCGATTAACATTCCACAAAAATTAAACATTTCAAATATTTTTTAATAACTTTTGGACGAGAACTTAACAAAATGACCATAAGATGTGGTTGAAAGCTCTAGATGAAGAACATAAGTGGCCTTTGATGACTTTATTTTACAGTGTATTACAAACGTCACTGCCTCCTGCACAATATGGCTGCAATATGGCTGTATATAAAGTATATATATATAAATATATATCAAGTTCATCAAATCAAAATAGGAATCCTGGCATCCTGACAAAAATTCAAAAATAAATAAATAAATAATCTATTAAGAGTCATAAATAAAAGCAACAGAACATTTTCTCCGATGCACTTTCACTTCTCAGATCAGAAATCACTTATCTTTAACCTTAACAGCGTTTTCTCTCGCACTCTTTTTCTCTGTTTTGTTATTCCCTTTATCAGCAGCATTCACAAGATACTTCTGTCTCCATTCATGTCCTCAGACATTTCACTTCTTAATGAAAAGCATATTTCAGGCTGTGTTTTACTTTTCATCCATCTCAATTTTCAGATGGAAACTCATCATCATTCCTCCTGCAGGATTCCAACCAGACACATTTGTGTGTCCTGTCTCACTTTGAGTTCTTTTCATATTCACAGTTTTCTGTGTTCGGCCTCTGAGGACCCTTTTTTCCAAACTGGCTGACAGTCAGCACTCAGGTGGTCTGTCAGAGCAGCCCCTGATGAATCACCTCAGGCATGATGACATTTGATTCTGCTGCATCTCAGTCCCAGCGGCGCTCAGACGTCTGCTGCTGCTCGCTGACAGTGAAGAGGACCCTCCCGCTCCCTCTCAGGAAAACAGAAATCTGGGTTTACAGAAGGAGCACAACAAGCTTCAACCTGTTTAGGTGGCGGGGAGCAGAATGAAAAACACCAGAGGCATCATGAGGATGTTCTCCAAGCTCTCAACTGTTTCCACTCTGACTAGATCAGCTGAGAGGTTTTTAAAGCCTCACGTTTTTTTTTTTGTCATCAAACCTCTAAGACTTCAGTGGAGGTCCAGATCCTGCAGGGACCTCGGCTTTCTGCAATATACTGAGCAGCTGTGACATAGCTGAGGAAAGAAGTGTCCCCCGGGACGGGGGCTGTGCACTGTGACATGATCACTGTTGGGTACCACACCTCTGTCCTTTCAGCAATGTTCAGTATGTTTCACAGGTGTATGAGTGAGCGTGCACAATAACATCCCCAAAGCTTGCTGCTCCCAGACTCTCAGTGACTGTTGCTTTCTGAGTTTGTGCCTTCAGATTTCACTTATATCCAAGTTTGTTGCTTTTTTAAAGCAATGCACCTTTTGCATTAGAGGAGGCACCAACTAGAAAACTTCTTACTGTTCAGTAAACGTCAGAGATTACATGAATTTAATCTGAATGACTATAGATGACAGGCTGCAGGAAACACCATGATATGTAGCCTCTCTGGAATACCTGTGCAAAATGAGTTTTCACATACTGCTGTGGAAGCTCCTAAAGTTAGGGCAGGGGTGTATGCTGTGACAACAGTTGGCATAGCCTGGAGTGCACAGTTGAATGTGCGAAGGATGTTGGCTATTGTCCATTTTCCATCTTCCATCTTCGGGGGGAACCAGGGTCATTCTCTTCACCAGGAACTCAAGGGCCACAGCATATTCAGATTCAACAACATCAGCTCTTCAAGTAGAGGGGTTGATGGGTCCAGGTGCGCAATGAACATAAAACTGCGCTACGTAATGGCACGAAGCAGCCCCGTAACCTCGATGCGCACCTCCGCTCCAGGGCCGCGTGTGTTCTCCACCTCGGTCAGTAATGTGCATATGACCTGAAAACTCTTCAGCACAACTTTGACCGTTGCGTCCAGTCCATCTCTGGTCCAAGAGACGTTTCAGGGTCTCACCTTTGTACAACATAGCGACGGTTGGCTTCCTGATGAAGTTGTACAGCATGTTGCATACTCCAAAAAACTCCTCCACAGCTGCTTCACTGGACATAGCATGAATCACAACCAGATGAAGCTGGTGATTAAAGCAGTGAATATATGGTATGTTACGATCCAGCTTGTTTTGGAGCAATGTCTGCACACCACCATGCCTGCCAGACATGAGTGATGCGCCATCATAAACCTGACAGAGGATTTTGTCTGTGCTGAGTCCGGCGCTCGTGAGCTCATCAATTATTACACCTGTCAGAGTCTCTGCATCACCTTTCTAAGATGTGGCCATTACCAAGAGGTGCTCACACACACCACAGTTATCGTAAACAAAACGCACCACTATAGATATATTTTCTTGGCCTAAAGGATCCCGTGTGCCATCCACTTTAATTGAATACCAGCTATCCCCGACTTGTCTCACTATTTCCTCTGTCACAAGTTTGCTCATCATTTCGATTATCTCGTTTTGTATCTGTGGGCTGGTATAGCGTGCATTCTGTGGGATTGTTTTTGTAATCCTCGTCAGTTCTGGATCTTTGCACATGGAGTACTCGAAAAGAGACAAAAACATCCCCATGGAGCTCTTGTCATCTAGCACACTGGCAAAACCAGCATTATCTCTACGTAACGGCAGTTGATTCACCATATCAATTAGGGCTGACATGTAGTATCTGTTGCGAGCCAGTTGCTCTGAAGTTAAGAGAGTGGAAATCTCTTTTCCTGTCTCTCTGCGTTTTTTGCGAATCTCTCCACATTGCTTAGGCTAAATGTTCTTTTGAAGCTGCATGCTTATTTAAGCCCTTGCCTGTTTCAATGGCATGTTTCCAGTCATTAAATCCCTTAATGGAGAATGAAGGTCACGTCTGATGATACAGATCGGAATTTTCTGCAGGCATAACAAAATGCGGCGTCCTTTTCCACCGAGTACTCAAGCCAGTCCCTGTTCAAATACCAGCTAGAGGAAAATTATCGTTTTTTTGAGCCAAACATTTTGACAGGATATTTTTTCAAAACAACCTGTTTGGGGTTGGGCTCAGCAGAGCTGCTAGCAACGGGCTCTGGCTCAGACTGTTGTCCTTCTCCATTGACAACATCAGGTTGGTTGATGTGATTTTGCAGAGGTGACCGTCGGTGGGTTTTTAAACCACTTACATACGTAACAGCAACGAAATAGAAATATTCTGAAAGCCAGCGAAAACTCACAGATTTGCAGATTCATTCAGTCATTCAAAATGCGCGGTGACTGTTGCACAGCGTTAATGACATAGGCTACGTCACGTAAGCCTACGTAATCTAACGTTTTCAGTCAGGCCGTGATTGGCTGTTGCAGTGTAAATTCCCATCAATCAAACATTACCACACCATTGTTTCATTATGTTTTTAATGTCTCAGTGATAAAGAAGCAACATTAGTATTTCTTAACACAAAATTATAAAATAAATTTTTTTTTAAATGCAACTCATCACTGACATCACAGCCGTCTGCCAAAGAGGAGGCTTTCACCTTTCAAAGTAGGCTACAAACAGCAGAGAAGTTTTATCTTTCGTTCATGTGGAGGATAGAGTCAAAGAGACGATGGATCTCGACCTAGACAAAGACAAACTTCCAACTGAAAGGGCCTTAGGCCTGCAATGGTGTATTGAGAGTGACAACTTTACTTTCAATGTTGCTGTTGATATTCAGTGCTGTTTGCCTCATGCTCACTCAGTCCATATGACTCATAGTTCCAGGTGCAGCCTTGTTAGTACTCACGAGTGGCATTAACCCGTTTGTGCCCAGATTTTTTTCAGAGTTGTAAGGCATATAATTTTATCACTTGAGGCCCTCTGAATCATGTTATGTATTTATTTTTTTCCATTTTGTACTTTATTCTGAAGAAAATAGCATTTTTATGACTGGCAACAGTCACGCAGCTTGTCACTAGGTCAAATGTCATCTAATAATAATAGATAAATAATAATAATAATATAGTCATAATAAATAATAACAAAAGGGTGGAGACTCAGGCTCCCCCTGTATAAAATTCAAAACAACAAACAATTTTAACTGGTTTCTTTATTCTCAATTTTTGTATACTCAAAACATCAACAAACAGTTTTTTCTTAGAACCTCTAAAAACACACACACACACATATGTATATATATATATATATATATATATATATATATATATAATATTTCTTCCCATACATTCCATCATCTTTAATGCATGTTCTACTCAGTGTGGTACTTCTTGAAGCACTCCACATATCGTGGCACATCACACTTTCCAATGATGTGCATCCGCCACAGTTCTTGCATCGCTTGTACCTGCTACCAGTGTTGCAGGGCCAGTGGTTGAAACTATCAAACCTGGTGGCATCAGTTATCGCCACCGCCATTGAAGATCTTCTGCCCTGCCTACTTGGCTTTGTTCCATGGCGCAGGAGGAGGGTCTGGGCTACCAGCCTCTGGAAGGAGAGGAGATCCTTCTGCCTGCTTTTCCAGGACCTAAATGAATGACAAAACAAGCATGATAGATGTATGAATGTGCCATGTTTTTGTTTGCATATGATGCTATTGATGAATCATCAATATCTTCCTTTCTACAGTGTCATGCCCCAAATGTTGAGTTTGTGATGTTGGTCTGGATATCATCACTGTTGCTCTTGTCGACCGAAGAGCACTAGCGATGACCTCGAGTCAAACATCACAAACTCGATTGTGATATAGCTAAATAACATACAGCCTTGTGTACCTGTAATAGCACCAGCTGTTCACCATCGCAGTGTTCAGGGCCCAGCTGAAGCATGGCCACCACTTCTTGGACCGGATGTTGACTCTGTAACGGCTGACAAACTGGTCATGCAGTGACCTGATGTCTCAGATGGCAGGTGTTTTTTCTTTTTCTAGGTCTGGGGCAGTCTGCATTGAAATGGCTGGAGCCAGACGAGGGTGAGGAGCCAGTTGAGGACAAGGGTGAGGAGCCGAGTGAGAGTTTGGGTTTAGGGCTGCTGATGTGGGTTGGTGTTGGGACCATCCTCAGAATCCGCCTCACGCTGTCAGACCGGTTGGGGTTTGGCTCCTGGACAGACATCCACATCATACTCAGTTTGTGCTGTTTCACTACTGATACCATAGATCATATTGGCAACTTTGTCTTTCAGTAGCAGTAACTCAGACATGCCATCATCTTCTAGCTCTGCTAGTTCCTCTCTGTCAAGATACTTCATGATATGAGTCACCAATGATATGTAGGGTTTTCCTTTAACCCCTGCTCTTTGTTGGCCTGATATGTGGAGAAAGTCACATATTTCCAGTAAACTGTCTGGTCAGGGTGTGCAACATTCCTACTACCTGTTCCTGTAGCTCTTCCATGGTTGTCATATCGACAGTGCAGGACAATAACTGTGTAGGAGTAGACTCTGAACTGGAAAGTCTTTACTGTCCCCCAATGATCTCTAACTGGCCTCAGGTGACGGGGACTCAACCACCAGCTTCAGGCTCTCCTTGAACAGCAACACTTTCCTCACAGCAGTCTGCCTGGGTTGTAGTGGGGGGATTTAGCTAGCTCGGAATTCAGTGGGCAGGTCGTGGACACTGGACATCTGAACAGCAATCCCAGCGGTGCCTCCAAAATGTTACGCCCCTGAAAATAGGGGAGAAATAATACAATAGTGATGTTTCCTCTGCAAGGATTTTACTCGAATCAGGACAATACCGCGAATTCCCCAGGTACGTGGACACGAGACAAAAGCAATCCATCACAGATTGTACGAACAAGACCACTGTGTAGATCACAGGGGTGACACCCTCAAGGTGATGCACCTAGGGCCCCTCCTGGAGAACAAGACACTGCTCAGCTCTATGACATCCTGCAGAGGCAAAACGACATCACAGCATCATTGATAAAGCAACAGGACAAGTCATAATTTGCCATGAAAGGAGATGAAGGTATTTAATAATGATCCAATTGAGTACAGATCATTTATCAGTTCATTTGAACACATTATAGAGAGCAAAATTGAGCATGCAAAGGATAAATTGTACTATCTGGAACAGTATACATCTGGTCAGTCCAGAGAGCTGTTTAAGACATGTCACTTCTTAGATGCAAATTTAGGCTTTGCAAGGGCCAAAGAATTGCTCCAAGAGCACTTTGGAAATGAGTATCAAGTCTTCAGTGCATACATTAATAAGGCATTATCATGGCCCTCCATTGGATCTGAGGATTCCCAAACCTTGAAATCATATGCTCTGTACCTCAGAGGTTGTTTGAATGCTATGAATGAAATTGCCTACATGGATGAATTGAATCTGGCTTCTAATTTGAAATTGTTAGTCTGTAAATTGTCCTATAAGTCGAGAGAGAGATGGAGAGTTGTTGTATGCAATTTTCAAGAAACTACAAACTGCAGAGCCACATTCAGAACCTTAGTTGAGTTTATTGAAAAACAAGTTCCTATCTTTGTAGATATACAAGATTCCTCACCAAGAGCACAAGGTCTAAGACCCATACACTGAAGATCTGTGAAATCAAAATTCAATGACAAAGGCTTCACGACCAATGCAGCAACCATTGATGTTATCCACACTTCTCCCAAACAGAGGAATAGCGTGTCACTTGTACAACATAACCCATTCTGTCTGTTTTGCTCAGGAGAACATCTACTGAAAAGCTGTTCTTGGTGAGGAGCCAGTTGAGGACAAGGGTGAGGAGCAGGGTGAGGAGCTGGGTGAGGGTTTGGGTTTAGGGCTGCTGATGTGGGTTGGTGTTGGGACCATCCTCAGAATCAGCCTCACGCTGTCAGGCTGGTTGGGGTTTGGCTCCTCGACAATCGTCCACACACAGTTCTGTTGAATTTGAAGACAAAAACCAAAACATTCATCAAACTACTGCTCCATGTCACATGAGTATAACATTCAATACACACTGAAAATCAGTGTGAGTGCCACATGGACACTGGGCTCAACTTAGTAATGTTAGATGATAAATGATAGAAATTAAATAAAAATCAATATCTTATGGCCATTCACCTTCTTTGGCACCGAACCTGATGTCTCCGATGGCAGGGTGTTTTTTCTTTTTCGAGGTCTGGGGCAGTCTGCATTGAAATGGCTGGAGCCAGACGAGGGTGAGGAGCCAGTTGAGGACAAGGGTGAGGAGCCAGTTGAGGACAAGGGTGAGGAGCAGGGTGAGGAGCCAGTTGAGGACAAGGGTGAGGAGCCAGTTGAGGACAAGGGTGAGGAGCTAGTTGAGGACAAGGATGAGGAGCAGGGTGAGGAGCTGGGTGAGGGTTTGGGTTTAGGGCTGCTGATTTGGGTTGGAGTTGGGACCATCCTCAGAATCCGCCTCACACTGTCAGGCCAGTTGGGATTTGGCTCCTCGACAATCGTCCTCACACAGTTCTATTGAATTTGAAGACAAAAATCAAAACATTCATCAAACTACTGCTCCATGTCATGTGAGTATAACATTCAATACACACTGAAAATCAGTGTGAGTGACACATGGACACTGGGCTCAACTTAGTAATGTTAGATGATAAATGATAGAAATTAAATACAAATCTATATCTTATGGCCATTCACCTTCTTTGGCACCGAACTTGATGTCTCAGATGGCAGGGTGTTTTTTCTTTTTCTAGGTCTGGGGCAGTCTGCATTGAAATGGCTGGAGCCAGACGAGGGTGAGGAGCCAGTTGAGGACAAGGGTGAGGAGCAGGGTGAGGACAAGGGTGAAGAGCAGGCTGAGGAGCCAGTTGAGGACAAGGGTGAGGGTTTGGGGTTAGGGCTGCTGATGTGGGTTGGTGTTGGGACCATCCTCAGAATCAGCCTCAGGTTGTCAGGGTGGTTGGGGTTTGGCTCCTGGACAATCGTCCACGCGCAGTTCTAATGAATTTGAAGACAAAAACCAAAACAGTCATCAAACCACTGCTCCATGAATCCATATCTTAAAGACAAGCTTTAAAAAGAATATCTAAAAATGTGGTTTCAATCAAATCTATCAGCTGTAAACCATTTCAACTTCAAACAATGGATTGATTTGATAATTATTTTTTATCAATAGCTGTTGGTCTAAATTGTTCTGATGCATGAGAAAAAAAACCTGAGCATTTTTCCAAGTAACTCCTGAAAGTCTGAAAAAACAATGCGTAGGAGAACAACACACGATAAAACAAATTAAAACTGACCTTTCCCATGTTGGAGATGCTTCCGTAGTACATGAAAGATGTGTATGGACAGTTTTTCCAAAATGTTGCTGGATCTGTTAATATTCAATTTGGAATTAATTTCAAATACATACTGTCATCCTTGCTTTTCAGGTAAAATTCTAAAAGTCACATGACTCACATAGCATTATTCAACTGATTTTGCGGGCCATTAAACCTGAGCTCAAACTTATAAAGGACTGAAGATTTAAAAAAATACTTTGGTTTTAAAGTGTATGTTCAGTCTCCATAGTAACAGCTCATTAAAGCTGTGTCTCTCACAAACATTTATACACATTGTTCACTTATCATCATTCAACATATATGTAGGAGCCATTTCACTATTTATTTAATAAGTTATTCTAATACCTGCTTTGTTTATGTTTCCCTGAGCTATTGTGCCCTCTGCAAAAGTCCATAAATAGGAGAGTTACCTGGTGGAGGTGTGGCTGACTGGAACCGCACAGCTTTTTGACCTTGCTGTTTCAGTGTGTGCTTGCTTTTGTTTGCTGAGGATAGGACTCACTGCTGCTTTGTACACTTTAAGCTTTTTTGGCATTGATTTATTTATTTTACAAAACTACAAGGGAACAGGCCTCAAAGAAACAGGCCTCAAAGGAACAAAGGAAAACAAAGCCCGAAGTTGCAGTAGGCCTCTTTACTTTAAAAGGTTAAAGTATACTTGCAGATTTGATTAATTGGTTAGATAATATTTTTGTTCGAATAATGGATTATCTTTGAATCAAGTTTGATCAAAGATTTTAAGTTACTAGAAGGAAGTTTTACGCACTGCACACGTCAGTGTGGAGGAGTCAGTGTGAAGGAGCCAGTGTGAAGGAGTCAGTGCGAAGGAGCCAGTGCGAAGGAGCCAGTGCGGGGGAGTCAGTGCGGGGGAGTCAGTGCGAAGGAGTCAGTGAGAAGGAGTCAGTGT